CATGAGGGGGCTCCGCTGAAGACGCTCCTCAGAACTGCGGTGCTCATGCCTACATCTGGTGGGGCCCTCCTCGGACTCCACAGGCTGCCCTCGGGCCCTGGGGGACCATCGAAACTGGATCGGGGACGGGAAGCTCCTCCCGGAGAAGGGCGTCCGGACCTCACGGGGCTCGCATTGGAAGAGGCGGCGGCCACGACGGGGGGACGGCCCCGGTGCAAAGCCGTCGTCGTCCCCCACGCGCCCACATTCGTCGCTCCTGTCTGTCCGGGCCCGGGCTCCGCACCCCGCCTGGGAGCGTCTGGTCTTGCTACCTCGCTCGTGTACCTAGGTCGGGCATGTCTTCCTACTGGCGGATTTTGAAAGAACACCAGAAAAGAGTCAAAACATATACCCAACAAATAGCCAAGGTCAAGGTCAAGGTCAAGCCTGTATGCCCGCGAAGGGGCGGCCGCTTAGGGCACAGGCGGGTGAAAATTAGCAGACGCTCATGTGGTGAAGAACATCTCCTTTCATACAATTCCAAGGCTGTGGATCTTTGGCTGCTACTCTTCAGTCGCCGATCCCGTACTTGTCGCAGAAACACTGGACATCAGGACAACTAGAAATAGTCAAAACAGCTACCCCCCAAATAACCAAGATCAGTCAAAACATCGTCCCCGGACAATTTGTTTGACTATCGCGAAGGCCTTACGGCCGGTGCCGCCGACCCTGATAACGACGAAGATGAGAACGAGGAGGGGGCAGGGGGAGGAGGATGAGTAGGAGGTGGAGGAAGGGTGGAGGAGGTGGATGAGGGAGGAGGAGGGGGGAGAAGGACGCGGAGGAGAAGCAAGAGGAGGAGAAGGAGGCATAGGAGAGCAGAAGGCCTCTGGGGGGCAGTTTGGGGGCCCACTGGGAGCCTCTTGGGGCCTCTTGTGGCTTCTTGGGGGCCTCTTGGGGGCCTCTTGGGGCTGAGGGCTCGAAATGTCCGTTCGGGTCCCCCGTCTGGGCACTCTCCTGAAGCTGTCTTGGGTGCCTCTTGGGCCGTCTTGGAGGCGTCTTGGGCCGTGGTCTCTAGGGGCGCTTTGCAGGCCTCTTGGGCCGTCTGGAGGCCGTCAAGGCGTCTTGGACAGATCGTTCGGCGATTCGGGGTTCTCTCGGACTGTCTTTGGGGCCTCGTGGGGAATTCTTGGCCCGTCTTGGGGCTTTTCTGGGCTCGGGGACTCCCCGGGGGGGCGTCGTATCTGACCCCCCCCACTGGACCCCTGGGACCCCCCCCAGGACCCCCCCCCGCGGACCCCCCCCCGGCGGGGGAGGGATCGAAGGGAAGGGGCTTCCCTTGGAGTCAATTGCGACGTTGCTCAACTTCGCTTTGGCTGGCGCGCTGAGGAGGTCCCTGAGAAAGGGGGGAGCTTCGAGGAGCCCAGGGAAAGGGGGAGGCAGGGAAAGGGGACGACAGAGACGACGACCAACGACTGACGGAGATAACGGCTTGAACGGACAAGCCCCTCACACACGCCGACAGGGTCGGCGGATTTTTGAATTCTCTTCCTCTAGAGGGACACGCCCGACTCAAGCGTGTATGTCCGATCCATCGGTGGTGTGCCGCGCATGCCAAGGCACTGTTTGCCCCGCCCAGCCAGTCCCACCTCGTATTCGGACGGAGCCAGGACGAGGATGCATCCGTTTGAGAGCGTTCAGGGACGCTCTCGGAGCGTTCCCGAACGCTCCGGGAAGGCCGCGGCGCCCGATACGTCCTCCAGTGTCGCCAGGTCTCAGAGATTCTCGATGTATCCTCGCCCGATTTACCCTCTCGTCTTACGATTCCAAGTCAACGGTTGCCCCGCTTAACCAGTCCCTCCTGTATCGTTCCCCCTCAAGAAAGATCGCATCGTCAGATGTCTGGGGCTGCTCCTTCCCCCTCCCAACGGCGAAGCGATGCCCTTGCAGGGCTTGGCGTTGCGCGCAGGCTGCCCCCCCCAGAAGTTCTGGCACGCCTCGACCTTCTGTGTCGGGCGAAAGTGGGAGGTACAGTCAAAACTGATAGTCAGGATGCACGATCAAGATGCAGGGGCCTTGGAAGGCCATGCCGACACTTTTCGAGCCTGGGCGCGGCCATCGAAAGTGGCCATGGCTGGGCCGAAGGGGAAGGATGCACGTGAAACCGTTGAAAGTCGCTCATCCTCACTATCGATGTTGACGGTGCGATGTTGACGGTCCACGGTCGACATTTGCTCCACGTAGCTGGTCTCGGCCCCGCCGCCAGGCGCCTTCCTCGATGCATGGGGAGAAGCCGGTTGCGTGGGCCGATTCGCCCGCCTCCCGCTGTTGTCCGCCCTTGCCCTCCGCCCCGAGACGTGCCCACGGGGTTGGTACGGCGCGGCCCCAACGCTGCGGGCAAGACCTGTGTCCATATCCACTGCAGCTCGGAGTTTCGGGATCCCTTCCCCAGGAACCCGAGGCGCATCGGATATGGAGACAGCTCTGGCCCCCAGAGGCTCGAGTTTTCTTCATACCTACACGACCATAAGGAGATTCGGGGGGGGGAGGAACCAACGTCTCACTCGATCGGTCTCACTATCGATCTCACTATCGATCTCACTATCGGTCTCGCTCGATCGGTATCACTCGATCGATCTCACAACCGATCTCACTCGATCTATTCCATTCGATCGATCTCACAGTCGATCTTACTATCGATCTCAAACTCGATCTCACTATCGATCTCACTATCGATCTCACAATCGATCTCACATTCGGTCTCACTATCGATCTCACTATCGATATCACAATCGATCTCACAATCAACGTCATCATCATCATCATCATCGTCATCATCATCATCTTGATCAACATCATCGTCATCAACGTCATCAACATCATCATCATCAGTATCATCATCATCATCATCATCATCATCATCATCATCATCATCGGGACACCATCATCTCCTCATCACCATCATCATCAACATTGTCATCATCAACATCATCATCATCGGGACACCATCATCGTCACCATCATCATCATCATCATCATCATCAACATCATCATCGGGACACCATCATCATGAGCATCGGAGCACCACCATCACCACCATTATCTTATCATCATCATGAACAATATCATCAACACCATCATCGGGACACCATCATCATCAGCATCATCATCATCAACATCATCATCGGGACTCCATCATCATCGTCACCACCATCATCATCATCACCATCAACATCATCGGGACACCATCATCAACATCAACATCAGCATCTTCATCGGGCCACCACCATCAAAATCATCATCATCACCTCATCATCATCTCATTATCAACACTATCATCATCACCATCATCATCGGGACACCATCATCATCATCACCATCATCATGATCATCAGTATCATCATCAACGTCTCATACAGCATCATCAACATCATCAGGATCATCAACAACATCATCCGCATCGAGACACCATCATCGTCATCATCAACATCAGCATCATGAACATCATCATCATCATCACTGGGACACCATCATCGTCACCACCATGGTTATCATCATCACCAACGTCATCATCATCAACATCGTCAACATCATCATCATCATCGTCGTCATCATCATCGGGACACCATCATCATCACCACCATCACCATCACCATCACCATCATCATCATCAACATCATCGACATCATCATCATCATCATCATCATCATCATCATCATCATCATCATCATCATCATCATCATCATTGTCATCATCGGGACACCTACGGGACACCGGCGGGACACCGGCGGGACACCGGCGGGACACCGCGCCCCACCGGCCCCCGGAAAGGAAACATTTGGTCCGGCCGCGCCTCAGCCAGAGGCGGGACACCAGCGGGACACCGCGCCCCACCGGCCCCCGGAAAGGAAACATTTGGTCCGGCCGCGCCTCAGCCGGAGGAGACTTTCTTCTCGCCCGCCCACGCAGCTTCGCCTCGCCTGCACGCACGGCACGCACGAACACGAAACCGAAACCGATTGCCCGGTAGGGGGGCTCTCCGTTCCAATTCGATCTCACCCCCTCACCTCCGACCCAGTGCGCCTCGGCCTTGCGGCGCCGCTTCCAAGAAAGTCCAACACGCACTGAATACGCATACAGGTCTTGCCCCCCAAGCACCCTGCCCCAGGGGCTCGGAGCGCCCCAGGGGCACCGCCGGAAGAGGCTGGCCAGGGCTGCGGTGGGCTGTGGTGCGTAGCTCAAGGCCCTGTCAAGGGCCGATGGGCTTTTCGAACGCGTTCCCAATTTTCACATGGCTCAGGGGGGCTCTGGGGGACGGGGCAGTCTTCCCCCGTCCGCAGCCCCCGCCACCCGACCTCCCCCTCTTCTTTCGCCCTGCCTTCTCTCCTCGTTCTCTTCTGCCTCTCGTGATCTTTCCATATGTGCCCTCAGTTGGCGTATCGTACATACCCTGTACCCGCACAGCGCGTCACAGGCAGTGGATTGCAGCGTGTGATCAGATGGCATATGTTTGCGGGAGCTGCCCATGGCGATTGCCATACCCAGATTATATTCCATGGCTCATTGCATGTGCAATGCCCTCCTAGCGATGTAGCGCAGTAAAACGTGCCTTCATCTGGATCATGGTGAAGACGTGGTGAAGCGCTCGCCATGGGTCATGAGCTTGAGGAAATTGGCAGGACGCCGATAAGAAATTACCAGGCCTCGTGTTCACGCAGCGGCGCCCAGGGTGATGTTTTGTGTAATCGTTCCCTCCCGCCCTCCTTGGGCGCGTGCCTGGACAGTCGACGGGCCAGACGGAGCCGAAGCGAGGCGGAAGCCGTATGAACGTTTTTTTGTGAAACGTTCTTTCGGCTTTCGGCTTGACCTGGACAGTCGACGGCAAACTACTTTGTGAATCGTTCTCCCTACCTTCTTGTTTGAATCGTCATCCCACATTATTGCCAGCAAGAACAGAGTGGAGTGAGTACACGCCTTCGTATTCTCGCAGCTCCCTTGAGCCCTGTCTGCCGCCTCGCGAGTTGCCTTCGCGCGACCGTCTGATCTTGGACGATGACAAGATTCACAGACTGGTCCAGGCCGGCTCACCAGAGAGCAGGAGGTGAAGAGAAGGAGTGCAGAGAGCAGGCGGCGAGGGAAGGAAGGACGAGGAGGCTGAGGAGGAGGAGGAGGAACAAACACGACGAGGAGATGCGAGAAGCAGAGCGGCAGGAATATCAGCGACGTGCAAGCCGATGTCGAGGCCACATCCCAAGCCTTGTCTGCACTCTGCCCGAACCGCCCCGCTCTGAGCTCCTTCCTCCCTCCTGCACGTGTGCTCCGTCCTTGCCTCCCCGCCCTCCTCGCCTCCTCCTCCTCCTCGCCTCCCCATCTGATTCATCAACTCCCTCGATCCATTTTCGCCTCACCTCCTCCTTCGCATCCCCTCCTGTCCCCCTTACCTCCGCATCCATCTTCCTCCCCTTCACTATCCTCGCCCCCTGCCGCAGCACGAGCCTCGCCGCACCGCCATGCCTCCTGCGCAGATCCTCCCTCCTTCTGATTGCGCGACCCCCTCCACGTCGTGGCCGCGGCACGGCCAGCGACCGCCCCGCCTCTTTCCGAGACGCCTGCTGTGCAGCCCCGGCCGCTTGCGCGTCCGCGGCGAAGCTTCTCGCCGCCTGCGCTCCCCCCCCCCCGCGTTCCTCCTCCGCGGCCTCCCTCCTCTTGTCACCGGCGCGCCCCGCCTGCTTTCCGAACGCGTTGGCGACCACCCTCGCTGCTGATCGGACCAGCTGTGGAGCTCCCGTCGCTCCTCCGCAGCCTGCTCTCGCCGTCGCCGTCCTCGTCCTCGCCCGCCTCGCGCGGGCGGGCCCCCCGGTCGCGTCGCCCCCCCATGCCGTGGCGTGACGAGCGAAGCCGTTGTTCGTCCAGGGAGGCCCCTTCTCGTGCGAGGCACCTCCCCTCCCCCGCTGCCCTCGTCCCCTCCCCGCTTTCCCCCACTGCGGTCTCCCTCACATCCTCCTTCTCCTCCACTCCTCTCCGTCCCTCAGCACGTCCCTTCCCCAGAGCTTCCCCTCCCCATGCCTTGTTCCCTCGTCTCGGAGAACGCCAGGTGAACTCACACCGATCACGGCGAGGTCGGCGTCCTCCTACCCTCTGCCCTCCCCCCCGCGCCCCTCCTGCTGCCGACCTGCACATGTTGGCAGAGACAAGTATACCCAA